GGGTTTTTGTTTTCTGTATAGAACACACACTCCTGGGAGAAACGCTGTGATGAGATTAACATGGGCTAATCAAGGTATCGAAACTTGGCAGCCTGCGGTATAAGCCCCGCACGTGTACACCCCTGTGATGTAGGCCAAGCACTTCCCAGAAGTTCGTAATCTAGGAACTGAGCATGCCTGTTTCCCTTTCCACATTTCCCAACAGCTTATCATTGCTGGAGCAACATTTGATGGGAGACCTAGCTTTCTTTCTAACCTAATCATCTCACATGATGATGATTTCTCCAAGCTGTTACATTTTGTGAAGTGTACACTACCGTCAAATGAGTGAACGAGACCAATTTTCATAATTTCTACTGCATACTTACTGGAAGATTTTTCTTAGAAGCCATGCATTTTGAGCATAAGCATTAAGTACACTAATTATGGGGTTTAATGTGATGGTGGAACCAAGTTTAAGTTCATATGACTGCATTAAACAGAAAGTCATATTCTAACGCTCAACTGCCTTCCCTATAGTTTAGTGATCACTGAGTAAACGGAAGAGTATCTACCAACTCATGGGTCTTGAATGGCGTTTCAAATGATGGAATAACCAATTCTGGAAGCATTGTTCTTTCTACATCCTGTCTCTGGGCCTCTTCATCCATACCCACAGCTTTAACCGCCATCCAGAACATGATAAATAACGAATATTTATTGTCTAGCCCTGAATTTTCCCTCAGCTGTAGACCTGAACACCACCACTTAGCTATCTCACAAGTACCTTTAACTCTCCGTGTTTAATCCAAAGTCATTAACTACCTTTTCCTCCCTACCTTGTAATTATCCCAGTGGCAAAATCCAGTCTTTGAAATCCTTCTCTTCTATCCTCATTCCCTACATCAAACCTATTATGAAATTGCATCCATTTGGCCTCTTAAATATTGCTCAAAATCTCTTTCTTTTCATCTTTTGGCCCAGGGAATTAGCTGGAGGCCCCCGTCACAGCATTTTACACATTTATTACATAAGGCACAAGTCTGGACTAGGTGATGTTAAGGTGCCTTCCACAAAGGCAGGGACTATATCTACCTTGCTCACCCCTGTACTCTAGCACCTAACACACAGTAGGTACTTGACGCATGCTTGTCAATTCACACTGGAAGAATGAGAGTCTAGGGCTGAAGTCCGATGACAACACCAAGTCCTCTTCTTATTTCTGTACAGCACTTACCACCGACAGAGCCCCTATAAATTGCCTCCTTTCACTTACACTCCTTAAGACAGATACAAAAAGCATCATGAACTCTGTTTTGCCAATAAAGGAACTGAGGCACTGAGAACTTAAATGTCCTGCCCAATGCCTCTGCCGCACAGCTAGTAAGTGGTTGTGCAAGACCATCTTAACCCTGACCACAGTGTTCTTTCCAACTATTAGGTAAGTTTGTATTTTTATAGGAATAATAAGTTCCCTCTCTGTGCAATGGTTCAGAGAGAGGCTGATGAAGATTTGGTGGTGATGATGTTCACACCCCAAACAGAACACTGGACTGGGAGACTTTTAATAAGGTTCCTTTAAATTCTAATTCCCTTAGCCTGGCTCTGAGGTCCTCTCTCTAGTGTCGTCGTCCTCTCCCTTCTGCCACTGGTCCCCAGTGCAGCATTCTAGCTCTTCACTGACCACTGAATTTCTTAAGCTTGATCCGCCATCTAAGGGGCAGCACCAAACCTTCAAGGCCTTTTCCAAGTCTTCTGCCAGGCCTCAGAAATCTTTCTGTTCTACTTGTGGATTGTTCCTGAAAAAGTTAAAACTGAATCTAAGTGTCCAGAGCCAACTTTCTATTCAGAGGAAATACAGAGGATAGAGAAACAACAAGTTAATCAACACCACAAAGAAACAGATAAATCCAGAATGTGGGATATTCTATAGGACAACTGATCCGATGTCTATAAGTTACTAGCGGGGGGGGGGGGGGGGGGGGGGGGGGGGGGGGGGGGGGGGGGGGGGGGGGGGGGGGGGGGGGGGGGGGGGGGGGGGGGGGGGGGGGGGGGGGGGGGGGGGGGGGGGGGGGGGGGGGGGGGGGGGGGGGGGGGGGGGGGGGGGGGGGGGGGGGGGGGGGGGGGGGGGGGGGGGGGGGGGGGGGGGGGGGGGGGGGGGGGGGGGGGGGGGGGGGGGGGGGGGGGGGGGGGGGGGGGGGGGGGGGGGGGGGGGGGTGAAAGACTGCTCTAGAATAGACTTAAGCAACAGAAAAAACAAATGTCATGTAGACTCTGAATGCTAATTTATACAAACCAACTATTAAAAAAGTATTTTAAGAAAGTAAGGATATTTCATGAACCAATAATTGCTGATATCAGAGAATAACTGTTAATTTTGTTGAATACCAACAGCATAACGGTTATGTAATAAAATACCCACCGTGTTTAAACGCATAGTAAAGTATGCAGTGATGAAATGACACTGTCTGGGATTTGTTTTAAAATACTCCAAAAAGAAAAAGAGATAGAGCAAACAAATGCAGCAAATCCTTATAATTACTAAATCTAGGAGTTGAGTATATGGGAATATATCTTTATACTGGTTTCTCTACCTTGGCATACACTCAAAAATTTTCAGAATACAATTGTAGTCTTGAATCTGTTCTTTGAAGAGTCCTACTCTACAAAAAAAGTAATTTGATTTAATGAGTTTTAACTAAAAATGTTTGCTAAGGTGTGCAAATATTTTACCCCCTACTGTATACTTTAAGATTCTAGTTTCCAGAAGACTGTCACAGAAAGATGACCCTAATGGGATTTCTGGCAACACAATCAATAAGTGGCACACTGAGTTTGGTTTTTGTGCACAGTTCTGGCTGTTTCCTCTGCCTTTACCAAGAAAGCCCACAAGCTATTCTTAGCCCCAGGATCTTGGTCAGATATGCTGATGACTCAAGCTGACTCTAAGTCCCAATGGCTCAGCAAACCTGGGCTTGCTGGGCAGATGGGTGGAGCTGCTGAGCTCCTCAAGAAGAAACCAGACTAGACCAAAGTGCAGGGAGAGAGGCTGCACAGCATGCCCCTCAACATCGGGTCCATCTTCAATGTGTGCTGTGCCAGAACCCACACCTACCTACCACTTGGTAGCAAAATCTCCCAATGCACAGGCTTTGAACTACACTTAGGTGAATGTCCTAAACTGTCAGTTTCCTACTGAGAACGTCCTACTTCTCAAGCAGCCTCCCAGCAACAGTCCACACTATTGGATTCTCAGTGATAACAAGATATTTCCTATAACCCAGGAGCTGCAGGCGAGTGCTTGAGAGCTTTTACAGAGGATAAAGAAGACGCGAGCCTGGTTTCTTGGGAAGGGCTGAAGAAACAGCAAGATGGAGAGAGCAGGGAGGCAGGACTGCTGACAGAGAGGAGGGGAATGCTGGGAGCTTTCATTTTTTATGACAGCTTTTCCAGAGTTAAGGAAGCAGCGTGCAGCAAAAAAATGGAAAATGTTAAGTAAGAAACTAGCTACCTCTACAGGCATGTACTTAAGTCTCGGAAGGAAGGGGGACCAGAGTCCACAAGCAAACTAAAGGGCCCCAAAGTTTCATAAGGTAAAGACACCACTTTAAAAATCCAGAGTGAATTTCCAGCTGCCTTTCCAAAGGTTCTGTCAAAGAGAATGTCTCTTCTGGAAGGACAAAAGCACAAAAGGATAAGACAGAGCATTTGGCCGTTTCACCAGCACTGGTGGCAACACAAAGAAATGACCTCCCACACTTCAGAGTATTCTCTCTCACCAAAACCAAGGAGAAACACTAGCCTCTTCTATTTTGTATCGCATTAAAGAGCTTTAATGTACACAAACATTTTAAAAATTAAATCTTCTGCTAATTACTTCATAAAGTTCCAGTGACCTCCCTACTTAAAAATTCTTCCAAGGTAAAGGTTAGGGGATAAAGCATGTTATGTGAATCTGATGGAAAGGTAGAGACAATAAGAAAGTAAAGTTTATTTTTAAAAAGATTTCTATGGGGGCCGGCCCGGTGGCGCACTGGATAGCGCGCTGCTTGGGAAGCGCGGCGGCGCTCCCGTCCGAGGGTTCGGATCCCACGTGCAGACCAGTTCCCGCTCACTGGCTGAGCGAGGCACGGGAGCAACACCGAGGGTTGCGATCCCGTTGCCGGTCCCCGGTCCGGTACGGGGGCAACACTGAGGGTTGCGATCCGTTGCCGGACACGGAAAAAGACAAAATAAATAAATAAATAAAAAATAAAATAAAATAAA